GCGAGTAATCGACCTATGTAACGCGGTGTACCAAGACTCATTTAGAAGATACGGTTAGAGCGCACGTTTCTACTCGCGTTCGTCGTTCGCCGCTATCAGGACAGTCGTTATTGTGTGCGCAGGTGCAACAAGATCCTTACACTTAAATGTGCGAAAGACGAGAAATTCAAAAACGCCGTCCGTGTCTGTACAAGTCTCTTGACGCCGCTGTCGCCAGCGTTCGTTGAACTCACTTACGCCAGCTATAAAAGAATAAATCTACCTAACTTTTTTTATAGCGCTCGCGAGCTAAATGATACACGGTTTATGCATCTCTATATATCTTTATAAAGGAATAGAATCGAATGTCCATTCGACGTCGTTCGTTTCGATTTCGATTTTTCATTTTCGAGACAGAGAGAATTTACAAGATCAGTTTCTCATCTATTATGAATTCCGTTTGCCGAGTCGACCATGTTGAAAATTGTCAATAATCTTTCATAAACAAGCAGTTTTTATTTACTTTGAAAAAGTTCTGTATGTATGATAAATCAATAATTAGGATGTCTCTATCGATTGAGCTTTTAAAAAGTGTCTCTTCTCGTTACCCACTCGTTTAAATCTCACCGTTCACATAGTAGATACAACCTACTTTCGTAGGGTACAGGTCGCACGATTCTTTCTTAGAATGCATTGATTCCTACGCGATACCTGCAGAAAGAGAGAGCACCGTCCCCGTCATCGTCGTCGTCGTCGTCGACGTCGACGTCGTCGCCGCTGCCGTCGTTGCTCTCCACCTCCGCTCAGCGATACTAGTATAACGACAGAACAACCACCACCACCACCTCCGCCATCAGCAAGCGCGGCCTCCTCTCATCATCATCAGCGGATCGCCGTTTCGGGAGGCCGATCGGTGGGCCTCGCCGGGGCCGATGCCGCGAGAGAGAGAATTCTCTCCTTCTCGGACGACGAACAAAGCGAGACGCGTGGTCTCGCGGGAGTCCGCGAGAGTGAGAGAGGCGGTTATGAGGCGGTCTCCGGGGGCGGCGCCTGTCGGCGCGTCCGATCGGAAGGCGAGCCGCGCGATTGGCCGGCACTATCGCGGTGCGAGGGGAACGTGAGGACGCGTGAGGTACGGCGGTGGGCGCCTCCACCCGCGCGGCGCGCAACATTGCCGTCTCCTTGCCGCGGTATACGTCTCTCTCTCTCTCCTGCCGCCACCGCTGCCGCCGCCGCTGCTGCTGCCGCCGTTGCCGCCGCCGCC